AATAAATTTCTCTTTGTTAAAGCCATCCACTTGTGGTATTTCTGTTACAGCAGCACTAGATGACTAAGACACTGATATGAATTTGGAAGGCTCTATCCTCGACGATCCTTATTCAGTAGGTCTGAGGCGGATCCCAGAAACCTGCATGTTTATCAAGTCCAGCCTCTGACATCAAATAACAAGGTTCCAGTGCTTGCTCTACTACTTTATTGGCTAGGCTACTTAATCCCTATGTGCTCAGTCTTGTATGTCTATAGATGAATAGATAGCTGCTATCCAGTCAACTCTGACTCATGATGACCTTATGTACAACAGAACAAAATGTTGCCTGCTCCTGCGTCATCATCACAATTATCGACATGTTTAATCCCATCATTGTGACTATTGTTCCACTCCGTCTCACTGAGGGTCTCCCTCACCCTCTTTGGCCATCTATGTCACCAAACATGACATCCTCCTTCAGCAATTGATCTCTCCTGATGATGTGTCCAAAGAAAGTGAATTGGACATTGTTCTGTTGTGATCCATAGAGATTTTGTCGCCTAATTTTTGCAAGTAGATTGCCAAGCCTTTCTTCCTAGTCTGTCTTAGTCTGGAAGATCTGCTGAAACCTATCCACTAGGGTGACTCTGCTGGTATTTGAAGTAGCAACCAGGGCTTAGAACAGGATGCTTCTGGTTCAAACCCCTGCTGAGAATTTGCATTTCTAACAAGTTCCTTACTGAGAACATGCTTTTCCACTCCACATATACTGAATCAGAATCTACAGTTTAACAAGATACACAGGTGTTTCTTATGTACAACTTCCTGAAAACTTGTTTTTGTTAGGTGCCATTGAGTCGGTTCAACTCATAGTGATCTTATGTACAACAGAATCCTATGTACAACTGCCCAATCCTGCGCCATCCTCACAGTCATTGCTATGTTTGAGCCCATTGCTGCAGCCGCTGTGTCAATCCATCTCGTTGAGGGTCTTCCTTTTTTTCGCCGGCCCTCTACTTTACCAAGCATGATGTCCTTCTCTAGGGACCGATCCCTCCTGATAACATGTCCAAAGTATGTGAGACGCAGTCTTGCCATCCTTGCTTCTAAGGAGCATTCTGGTTGTGCTTCTTCCAAGAAAGATTTGTTCATTCTTTTGGCAGTCCATGGTATATTCAATATTCTTAACCAACACCACAATTCAAAGGCATCAATTCTTCTTCAGTCTTTCTTATTCATCATCCAGCTTTCGAATGCATATGAGGTGACTAAAAACACCATGACTTGGGTCGGGCACACCTTAGTTCTTCAAGGTGACATCTTTGCTTTTCAACACTTTAAAGAGGTCTTTTGCAGCAGATTTGCCCAATGCAATGTGTCGTTTGATTTCTTGACTGTTGCTTCCATGGGTGTTGATTATGGATCCAAGTGAAATGAAATCCTTGACAACTTCAATCTTTTCTCCATTTATCGTGATGTTGCTTATTAGTCCAGTTGTGAGGATTTTTGTTTTCTTTATGTTGAGGTGTAAACCATACTGAAGGCTGCGGTCTTTGATCTTCATCAATAAGTGCTTCAAGTCCTCTTCACTTTCAGCAAGCAAAGTTGTGTCATCTGCATATCGCAGGCTGTTAATGAGTCTTCCTCCAATCCTGATGCCCCATTCTTCTTCATAGAGTCCAGCTTCTCAGATTTGCTCAGCATACAGATTGAATAGGTATGGTGAAAGGTTACAACCCTGATGCACACCTTTCCCGACTTTCAACCACGCAGTATCCCCTTGTTCTGTTTGAAGGACTGCCTCTTGATCTATGTACAGGTTCCTCATGAGCACAGTTAAGTGTTCTGGAAGCAAGCGTTCCAACGAGAACAATCTGCTTCCAAACTCTGATAGCAACACACAAGCTACCACAGTACGATACACTGAGGAAGGGGTGGTGGTTCCTGTGGCTCATGTCTGTAATGAGCTAATAATAGCCGCCTCTCAGGCGGCTTCAATGAGGTACTGTATGTAACAGTCTCAGCGTTAGTGAGAAGTGGTTAAACCCATCGCCGTCCAATCGCTATGGACTCATAACCACCCTCTAGGACAGAGTAAAACTGCCCCGTAGGCTTTCCAAGGCTGTAAATCTTTACCACAGAGTGGCTGGGGGGTTCCAGTGCTTTAACCACTGTGCCACAAGTGCTCCCGAATAGTGCTTGATGAACTTTTTATCACTAGTTAGCTATTGATCATAACACTGGCAGACGGTACTCAGAGAAGGGGTCTGACAGGAAAGGTCTGCTGGAATCTGGGAAATGCTGACAAAGAAACTGGAGCTGGGGGTGAGAAACGGAGACCGGGTAAAGAGCAGTGGGCAGCTCCCCACCAAGGCGCGCGTGGGAAACCCCGGTGGGTGTGACCCTGCGGAGAGCTGCAGACTTGGGCGGCGACGGGCCGGGGGCGGGGCCTGC